ACCCCAAACCAGTGCCTGGCTGTAAAGTACCTGTGAAGTAGCAGTGAAGCCAGGGAGAAATGAAATTTTTCTTTTTTTTTTTTTTTTTTTATTCCTAGGGACTGGGCAACTTCAGCATCCACAGCATCGAAGTGGACACGGGCGGTTTCTCTGTGGAGGTTGCGGGATGTGATCCGAAGGACGGCGCTCACCCCAGCGAGGACGTGGCTGTGTGAAGGCCTTCAGCCCTGGCAGATATGCAGGGCAGGGGAGGGAGCAGCCAGCTGCCTTCCTCAGCGGAGAAATCCCCACTGCTTTAGAGGCGGCTCCTTCAGCCAGCTCCAGCAGGTGCCTTAGGTCTTGATGTGGCCTTTTTGTGCCGCTACTTGCCCCCAAAACCACAGAGGCTGGAGAAGCTGTGACAAACTGGGCAGGCAAAACCGTCCCCGGAGGGTGGCCTTGCTGGAAGGACAGTTTGCTAGGGCCTCCAGGGTGATGTTGGGGTTTCACTCCAGTTTTCATGGTTCTCCGAAGGGGAAAGAAATAGCATTTGTGATGCTGCCTCTAGCAGGAGCCTCCCTGCTCTTCCAGCAGCAGGGGCCCGCGCTGCGCGTTCGGCATGGAATGCTCCTGCACCAAGGATGCACCTGAATGTGGAATCAAGTCCCTGCCCCGTGCTGAGAGACTATTTCTGCAGTGAGAAGTCCCTGCGGTCTCTCGGAATAAAAAGACTTGTTCCCAGTTTGTGTTTACGCCCCTCTGTCCCGAGCAGGGCTCCTCCCTCCCCGCGGGATAGCAAGGGCCCGGCAGTGTGGGGGCAAAGCCCTTCGGGGTGCGGGGTAAGGCAGAACCCACGCATAGGGGCTGGTCATCGCCCTCCGCAGCCCTGGGTGACAGAGGAGAGCAGGGGAGCGCTGCCGCGGGAGGCAGGCAAGCAGCGGGCTGGCACCAGGTCCTATCTTGGGGGTGTTTGTACTCGTGATGTGCAAATGCCAGCCGGGGGGGACAGACAGGAAGATCCTCTTGATGCCGTGGCGCAGGGCAGAAGAGGAGAAATGGTGCATAGCTTTTGTCCTGCATCTCTGCAGCTCCCTCCGGGCCCACTGACACACCACCTGAGGCTGCTGCTCTGCCAGGCGAGGTTTATTTACAGAGTAGCTGTACAGGGCACAGCAAGCCAGCAGGGACGCAGCCCCGCTT